AAAAACGTGGTGGAGCATTCCCGTTTGCCCCCAGTGGTGGCTGCAACATACCTTTCATTCCTGTTACCACCTGGAATAGCGCAATGTCCCAAAAACTCAGTGCTCCTTTTTTCCTGTTCCTTCTCCATCCCGATTCCTAGTGAGAAGTGCACATAGAAACACACACGGTCACTTGGCTGTTCCTCTGATCCAGTGTTAACTGTTACCCGTCCGCACTGTTAAGTAGGTCTGCCCAAGATGGCAGCTGATTAGCAGCAGCTGGTGAGGTGACATACAAAACCAGCAGGTCAACCAGCAAGGACTGTCTGGCCGTGACATATTCTGTCAGTGGTTGTATTCTTCATTGTAGGTGTTGCATTAGTTACACAGATTAGTTTAGCTATAGTGTTGTATTGGTTGTGGGAGTTGCCTTGTGTAGCTGTAGGCATTGTTGAAAACATGTCTTATGTAGTTTTTGAAAATTCAGTGGCAAATTTAGTAACAGATGTTGTTCTGATTAGTGTTTGTTGCAGTGGTTGTAAATGTTTTTGTAGTTTCATTCAGGAGTCAGTTATTTGTTTATTTGAAGGTGTTACTGTAATATGTTGCACTGATGGGTTTGTTTAACTAATTTAAGTCTCTTATCAGAGAGCCAATTGTGATTCCATTTAGTGATGATTTTACAAGTTTTTCAATGATTGCATAATGACTGATAAGAATTTACCACCTAAAAACATACCAACACTTTTTAATGCAGTGTGTATAAAAATAAAAACACAGAGTCTGCTTCAAACCACTCCTTTTCCTAGAATAGATCAGATATGGGTAACTGTTCCCCCTACTACCTGAAAGGCAGCACCTCCGCTTTGTCCCTGCCTCCTTGTTCCCTCCCATTCAGCCTACAGTTTGAAGATGGGCGTAACCAACATCTGTTGACATGTCCGAGCGGAAAGCCTCCATTTACTACATAAACACCTGCTGATTAGATCGGAGCTCAGACTAGTTTCACTTCTACAAAAGACAAAACTGCAAGTCATTGTTACTAAGAAGAGAAATGGCGAAGAAGGAAATTAAAATGGATGATGAAATACTTTCTTGTTCCATCTGTTTGGATCTACTCAAGGATCCAGTGACTATTCCCTGTGGACACAGCTACTGCATGAACTGTTTCAAAAGTCACTTTGATGAAGAGGACAGGAAGGGAATCCACAGCTGCCCTCAGTGCAGGATGACTTTCCAATCGAGGCCTGTCCTAGAGAAAAACGCCATGTTAGCAGCTTTAGTGGAGCAGCTGAAGAAGACTGGACCCCAAGTTGCAGGTTCCCACAAGAAGCTCAAGGAGAACATCTGCATGGTTGCTGGGATACAAGAGAAATGGACAAATATCTCACTGACAGTCACTGAAGTGGATGTTTTACTGTCACCAGCAGAGCCAAAGACCAGAGCTGGATTCTTAAAATATTCACATGAAATCACACTGGATCCAAACACAGCAAACACACATCTGTTATTATCTGAGGGGAACAGAAAAGTAACAATAATGAGACAAAAGCAGTCTTATTCTGATCATCCAGACAGATTCACTGGATGGCTTCAGGTCCTGAGTAGAGAGAGTCTGACTGGACGTTGTTACTGGGAGGTGGAGTGGAGAGGGAGAGGAGTTGGTCTTGCAGTTGCATACAAAGATATTGACAGAAAAGGGAGCTTAGATGAATGTAAATTTGGATTTAATGACAAATCTTGGTCTTTACGTTATGATACAAATGGTTTTCAGTTTTGGCACAATGAAGTCCAAACTGTCCTCTCAGGTCCTCGGTCCTCCAGAGTAGGAGTGTACCTGGATCACAGAGCAGGTATTCTGTCTTTCTACAGCGTCTCTGAAACCATGACTCTCCTCCACAGAGTCCAGACCACATTCACTCAGCCGCTCTATGCTGGACTTCGGTTCTTTTATTATGACAATGACACCGCAGAGTTCATTAAACTGAAATAGACAGAAATGATT